TCGCATTTAGATGTATTCATTGTGCCGTAATGCATGTACAGACACTGAGGAAGCATTGACAGTCGCTGGTGTTAGGCCAGGAGACATTGACAGACGCTGGCGTTAGGCCAGGAGGCATTGACAGACGCCGGTGTAAGGCCAGGAGGCATTGACGGACGCTGGTGTAAGGCCAGGAGACATTGACAGTCGGTGGTGTTAGGCCAGGAGACATTGACAGACGCTGGTGTTAGGCCAGGAGACATTGACAGACGCTGGTGTTAGGCCAGGAGACATTGACAGACGCTGGTGTTAGGCCAGGAGACATTGACAGACGCTGGTGTAAGGCCAGGAGACATTGACAGACGCTGGTGTTAGGCCAGGAGACATTACAAGACGCTGGTGTTAGGCCAGGAGACATTGACAGATGCTGGTGTTAGGCCAGGAGACATTGACAGACGCTGGTCTTAGGCCAGGAGACATTGACAGACGCCGGTGTAAGGCCAGGAGGCATTGACAGACGCTGGTGTAAGGCCAGGAGACATTGACAGTCGGTGGTGTTAGGCCAGGAGACATTGACAGACGCTGGTGTTAGGCCAGGAGACATTACAAGACGCTGGTGTTAGGCCAGGAGACATTAACAGTCGCTGGTGTTAGGGCAGGAGATATTACAAGACGCTGGTGTTAGGGCAGGAGATATTACAAGACGCTGGTGTTAGGCCAGGAGACATTGACAGTCGCTGGTGTTAGGCCAGGAGACATTGACCGACGATGGTGTTAAGTAAGGATGCATTGACAGACGTTTGTGCTAGACAAGGGGGCATTGACAGACGCTGGTGTTAGATCAGGAGGCATTGACAGACGCTGGTGTTAGATCAGGAGGCATTGAGATTCGCTGGTGTTAGATCGGGAGGCATTGACAGACGCTGGTGTTACCCCGGGGGCATTGACAGATGCTGGTGTTAGATGAGGAGGCATTGACAGACGCTTGAATTAGATCAGAAGGCACAGACAGACGCTGGTGTTAGATGAGGAGGCATCGTGACGCTTGTGCTAGACAGGGGAAGCATTGACAGACGCTGGTGTTAGACCAGGAGGCATTGACAGACGCTGGTGTCAGACAAGGAGGCATTGACAGACGCTGGTGTTAAACAAGGAGGCATTAAGAGTCGCTGGAGTTAGACGTCGGTATTACACAACCTCTATGATATACTAAATCTTATATCGGGAACCTAGATCTGCACCAGTGTGCAGTGAAAATACTACCAATGTCATCCGTAAAATATTCATAGTTGCACGTCAAATACCACAGCGTAGAATATACTAACAAGACAACATGGCAAACACGGATCGCCATATTGCATGGGGCACTGATCAGTTATGAAGTGTTGGTAATGGGATTACTTTCTTCCGCTATGCCTAGTTGTCGTGACACGATGAAACTCTTTACATTTTCAGATATCATTATGCAACCAATTTTCACATTTCCTGTTATTTTATGCAACCAATTTAGACATTTCCTGATGTCATATCCTGATCAACCTTACGTCATTATGTAGCAAACCTTGACTTTGATGGACGTGTTTCCGGAACTTCAAATTGTCTGGATGATTCTTCCCAGATGAGCTTGACGAAGTTAGCTCTACGGTTGTCGCAGGCCTTTGTTCGAGATCTGGACTTACAACTTTCGCTAACTGCGCTTATTGAAAAAAGGTCGTTTAACAAAATATGAAAGGAACTGCTTTGGAATACGACGAGGTGGATGGATAGGACAAACAAGAAATATATATACTGTCGATAGAAATTAAGGGAACAGGTGAAATGTTTTCAGGATGAATGTCCGTAAAACTGCTGGGCGTGTAGATCAATATCTAGTGTGTCCACCATGTCCGGCGCTACATGCATGACACCTTGATGACATAATGTTGATCAGCTTGTGTATTGTTGCCCTTGGTATTGCCCGCCTCTCCGACTGAAGAACTACATCAAGCTGGGCACGTTGGCGGGTGCTGGGGATGCTCTATTGGCAGGGGACAAGACAGGGGACATGGCAGGGGAAAAGACAGGGGACAAGGCAGGGGACATGGCAGGGGACAAGACAGGGGACATGGCAGGGGACATGGCAGGGGACATGGCAGGGGACATGGCAGGGGATAAGACAGGGGACATGGCAGGGGACATGGCAGGGGACAAGACAGGGGACATGGCAGGGGCAAGACAGGGGACATGGCAGGGGACAAGACAGGGGACATGGCAGGGGACAAGACAGGAGACATGGCAGGGGACAAGACAGGGGACATGGCAGGGGACAAGGCAGGGGACAAGACAGGGGACATGGCAGGGGACAAGACGGGACAAGACGGGACATGGCAGGGGACAAGACAGGGGACATGGCAGGGGCAAGACAGGGGACAAGGCAGGGGCAAGACAGGGGACATGGCAGGGGACAAGGCAGGGGACATGGCAGGGGACATGGCAGGGGACATGGCAGGGGACAAGACAGGAGACAAGGCAGGGGACAAGACAGGGGACAAGACAGGGGACAAGGCAGGGGACAAGACAGGGGACAAGGCAGGGGACATGGCAGGGAACATGGCAGGGGACATGGCAGGGGCAAGACAGGGGACAAGGCAGGGGACAAGGCAGGGGACATGGCAGGGGACATGGCAGGGGACATGGCAGGGGCAAGACAGGGGACAAGGCAGGGGACATGGCAGGGGACATGGCAGGGGACATGGCAGGGGACATGGCAGGGGACATGGCAGGGGACATGGTAGGGGACATGGCAGGGGACAAGACAGGGGACAAGGCAGGGGACAAGGCAGGGGACATGGCAGGGGCAAGACAGGGGACAAGGCAGGGGACAAGACAGGGGACATGGCAGGGGACAAGACAGGGGACATGGCAGGGGACAAGACAGGGGACAAGACAGGGGACAAGGCAGGGGACAAGACAGGGGACAAGACAGGGGACAAGACAGGGGACAAGGCAGGGGACAAGGCAGGGGACAAGACAGGGGACAAGACAGGGGACATGGCAGGGGACATGGCAGGGGACATGGCAGGGGACAAGACAGGGGACATGGCAGGGGACATGGCAGGGGATAAGACAGGGGACATGGCAGGGGACAAGACAGGGGACAAGACAGGGGACATAGCAGGGGACAAGACAGGGGACATAGCAGGGGACAAGACAGGGGACATGGCAGGGGACAAGACAGGGGACAAGGCAGGGGACATGGCAGGGGACAAGACAGGGGACATGGCAGGGGACAAGACAGGGGACAAGACGGGACATGGCAGGGGACATGGCAGGGGACAAGACATGGGACATGGCAGGGGACATGGCAGGGGACAAGACAGGGGACATGGCAGGGGACAAGACAGGGAACATGGCAGGGGACAAGGCAGGGGACATGGCAGGGGACAAGACAGGGGACAAGACAGGGGACAAGGCAGGGGACATAGCAGGGGACAAGACAGGGGACATGGCAGGGGACAAGACAGGGGACATGGCAGGGGACAAGACAGGGGACATGGAAGGGAACAAGACAGGGGACAAGGCAGGGGACGTGGCAGGGGACATGGCAGGGGACAAGACAGGGGACAAGACAGGGGACAAGACAGGGGACATGGCAGGGGACAAGACGGGACATGGCAGGGGACATGGCAGGGGACATGGCAGGGGACATGGCAGGGGACAAGACAGGGGACATGGCAGGGGACATGGCAGGGGACAAGACAGGGGACAAGACAGGGGACAAGACAGGGGACAAGACAGGGGACATGGCAGGGGACAAGACAGGGGACATGGCAGGGGACAAGATAGGGGACATGGCAGGGGACAAGACAGGGGACATGGCAGGGGACAAGACAGGGGACATGGCAGGGGACATGGCAGGGGACATGGCAGGGGACAAGACAGGGGACAAGACAGGGGACATGGCAGGGGACAAGATAGGGGACATGGCAGGGACAAGACAGGGGACAAGACGGGACATGGCAGGGGACAAGGCAGGGGACAAGACAGGGGACAAGACAGGGGACAAGACAGGGGACATGGCAGGGGACAAGATAGGGGACATGGCAGGGGACAAGACAGGGGACATGGCAGGGGACAAGACAGGGGACATGGCAGGGGACATGGCAGGGGACAAGACAGGGGACAAGACAGGGGACAAGACAGGAGACAAGACAGGGGACATGGCAGGGGACATGGCAGGGGACAAGATAGGGGACATGGCAGGGACAAGACGGGACAAGACGGGACATGGCAGGGGACAAGGCAGGGGACAAGACAGGGGACAAGACAGGGGACAAGACAGGGGACAAGACAGGGGACATGGCAGGGGACATGGCAGGGGACATGGCAGGGGACAAGATAGGGGACATGGCAGGGACAAGACAGGGGACATGGCAGGGACAAGATAGGGGACATGGCAGGGACAAGACAGGGGACATGGCAGGGGACATGGCAGGGGACATGGCAGGGACAAGACAGGGGACATAGCTGGCCTGTCTAATGCCCGCATGCCTTCCTATCGGAGATAATAGGTGACTACCTGGGCACGATGTGGTCTGGCATTGCCATTTTGCAGTCAGAAATATATGCCGATGTTTCTAGCGAATGGAAAAAACGACAGGACGGAACATTTCGTCCACATATCGCTGGCCATTCAAATGTCCATTCACAATAACCGAATACGTTCATTTGTCATGTGTGATACCGCCCACACCATATCACATACCACTCACCTCTACGTCACGAACAACGTTTTCTGCCGTCTGTGAGTGAGTATGGTTTCACGCCGCTTTTAGCAATAATCCAGCAATATCACGACGGGGGATAGAGCCGTGGACGGAACTTTTTGTTGATAACAGAGGTAGATTTGAATCGATGGCGTTGTCATTGTCATTTTTTGTCTGTGGTATATTTTCGGACGTTTTACTGTTTTAAATATCGTTTAATCTTGGGGTTCGTGTTCTCATATGCAAAATACGATTAATCGTCTGTCTCTGTTTCAGTTTCGTAACAGCTCCTCCCTGAGTCTGTGTGACATCCAAGTGACCGACCTCCACGACTGTCCCAGGTAAGTGGAGTCGCCCCGCGTGTGTGAGTGTGTGTTATTTTCTTTCAGTGTGTGTGTCTTTGTGGTGTGTGGTGTGTGTGTGCGTGCGTGAGTGTGTGCGTGCGTGTGGTGTGTGTGTGTGTGTGTGTGTGTGCGTGTGTGCGTGTGTGGTGTGTGCGTGTGTGGTGTGTGTGCGTGTGTGGTGAGTGTGTGTGTGGTGTGTGCGTGCGTGCGTGCGTGCGTGCGTGCGTGCGTGCGAACACAACAGCAACAACAACACACCCTCTCCCGCAGGGTCTCACTGTTCGCCATGTTCATCAGACCTTTTCACTGTGTAATATCTATTTCAAACTGATCACGTGAGATGGTTGAGTTGGTCGAGTAGGCGACGCTTTTGCGAATGTCGAGTACACGTTCTAACACAGACACGCTGATGCTTGGCAGTGTAATATTAGAATGTGGTCAACAGAAGATACAAACGTAACAAAAGACGTTCTTCTCTTGTCTACATGTCATACTCTATTATGGATAATGTTATTGATATTATATTTATCCTCAGACAGAATTGTGCTGAATGGGGGGAAATGTAGGCAGTGGATGTTGTATTGTTAGACGGTGACGTGCCGTTGATGTACCCGCCTCTCCCGGGACGGGCCTGCGAATCCCACTTCAATCAAAGAACTCCCACGTGCTTCGCCTTTTCAAAAACTCATTGATTTCACAATGGCTAACACGGCGAGTGGCAGCCAAACAGTGAGACGACTGTGTTACCATTGTCTGTAGAGATATGACTGTGTTACCATTGTCTGTAGAGTTATGACTGTGTTACAATTGTCTGTAGAGATATGACTGTGTTACCATTGTCTGTAGAGATATGACTGTGTTACCATTGTCTGTAGAGTTATGACTGTGTTACAATTGTCTGTAGAGATATTACTGTGTTACCATTGTCTGTAGAGATATGACTGTGTTACAATTGTCTGTAGAGATATGACTGTGTAACCATTGTCTGTAGAGATATGACTGTGTTACAATTGTCTGTAGAGATATGACTGTGTAACCATTGTCTGCAGAGACATGACTATATTACCAATTTTTGTAGAGACATGACTGTATTACCATTGTCTGTAGAGGCAGGAATATATTACCATTGTCTGTAGAGGCAGGACTGTATTACCATTGTCTGTGGAGGCACGAATGTATTACCATTGTCTGTAGAGGCAGGACTGTGTAACCATTGTCTGTAGAGGCAGGACTGTGTAACCATTGTCTGTAGAGGCAGGACTGTATAACCATTGTCTGTAGAGGCAGGACTGTGTAACCATTGTCTGTAGAGGCAGGACTGTGTAACCATTGTCTGTAGAGGCAGGACTGTATAACCATTGTCTGTAGAGGCAGGACTGTGTAACCATTGTCTGTAGAGGCAGGGCTGTATAACCATTGTCTGTAGAGGCAGGACTGTGTAACCATTGTCTGTAGAGGCAGGAATGTATTGCCATTGTCTGTAGAGGCAGGAATGTATTGCCATTGTCTGTAGAGGCAGGAATATATTGCCATTGTCTGTAGAGGCAGGAATGTATTACCATTGTCTGTAGAGGCAGGAATGTATTGCCATTGTCTGTAGAGGCAGGAATATATTGCCATTGTCTGTAGAGGCAGGACTGTGTAACCATTGTCTGTAGAGGCAGGACTGTGTAACCATTGTCTGTAGAGGCAGGACTGTGTAACCATTGTCTGTAGAGGCAGGACTGTGTAACCATTGTCTGTAGAGGCAGGACTGTGTAACCATTGTCTGTAGAGGCAGGACTGTGTAACCATTGTCTGTAGAGGCAGGACTGTATAACCATTGTCTGTAGAGGCAGGACTGTGTAACCATTGTCTGTAGAGGCAGGACTGTATAACCATTGTCTGTAGAGGCAGGACTGTGTAACCATTGTCTGTAGAGGCAGGGCTGTATAACCATTGTCTGTAGAGGCAGGACTGTGTAACCATTGTCTGTAGAGGCAGGAATGTATTGCCATTGTCTGTAGAGGCAGGAATGTATTGTCATTGTCTGTAGAGGCAGGAATGTATTACCATTGTCTGTAGAGGTAGGAATGTATTGCCATTGTCTGTAGAGGCAGGGCTGTATAACCATTGTCTGTAGAGGCAGGGATGTATTACCATTGTCTGTAGAGGCAGGAATGTTTTACCATCGTCTGTAGAGATATGGCTGTGTTACCATTGTCTGTAGAGGCAGGACTGTGTAACCATTGTCTGTAGAGGCAGGACTGTATTACCATTGTCTGTAGAGGCAGTACTGTGTAACCATTGTCTGTAGAGGCAGGACTGTATAACCATTATCTGTAGAGGCAGGACTGTGTAACCATTGTCTGTAGAGGCAGGACTGTGTAACCATTGTCTGTAGAGGCAGGGCTGTATTACCATTGTCTGTAGAGGCAGGACTGTATAACCATTGTCTGTAGAGGCAGGACTGTGTAACCATTGTCTGTAGAGGCAGGGCTGTTTAACTATTGTCTGTAGAGGCAGGAATGTATTACCATTGTCTGTAGAGGCAGGAATGTTTTACCATCGTCTGTAGAGATATGGCTGTGTTACCATTGTCTGTAGAGGCAGGGCTGTATAACCATTGTCTGTAGAGGCAGGACTGTGTTACCATTGTCTAAAGAGGCAGGACTGTATTACCATTGTCTGTAGAGGCAGGGCTGTATAACCATTGTCTGTAGAGGCAGGACTGTATAACCTTTGTCTGTAGAGGCAGGACTGTGCTACCATTGTCTAAAGAGGCAGGACTGTGTTACCATTGTCTGTAGAGGCAGGACTGTATAACCATTGTCTGTAGAGGCAGGACTGTATTACCATTGTCTGTAGAGGCAGGGCTGTATAACCTTTGTCTGTAGAGGCAGGACTGTGTTACCATTGTCTAAAGAGGCAGGACTGTGTTACCATTGTCTGTAGAGGCAGGACTGTATAACCATTGTCTAAAGAGGCAGGACTGTATTACCATTGTCTGTAGAGGCAGGGCTGTATAACCATTGTCTGTAGAGGCAGGACTGTATAACCTTTGTCTGTAGAGGCAGGACTGTGCTACCATTGTCTAAAGAGGCAGGACTGTGTTACCATTGTCTGTAGAGGCAGGACTGTATAACCATTGTCTAAAGAGGCAGGACTGTATTACCATTGTCTGTAGAGGCAGGGCTGTATTACCATTGTCTGTAGAGGCAGGGCTGTATAACCATTGTCTGTAGAGGCAGGACTGTGTAACCATTGTCTGTAGAGGCAGGGCTGTTTAACTATTGTCTGTAGAGGCAGGAATGTATTACCATTGTCTGTAGAGGCAGGAATGTTTTACCATCGTCTGTAGAGATATGGCTGTGTTACCATTGTCTGTAGAGGCAGGGCTGTATAACCATTGTCTGTAGAGGCAGGACTGTGTTACCATTGTCTAAAGAGGCAGGACTGTGTTACCATTGTCTGTAGAGGCAGGGCTGTATAACCATTGTCTGTAGAGGCAGGACTGTATAACCTTTGTCTGTAGAGGCAGGACTGTGTTACCATTGTCTAAAGAGGCAGGACTGTGTTACCATTGTCTGTAGAGGCAGGACTGTATAACCATTGTCTAAAGAGGCAGGACTGTATTACCATTGTCTAAAGAGGCAGGACTGTGTTACCATTGTCTGTAGAGGCAGGACTGTATAACCATTGTCTAAAGAGGCAGGACTGTATTACCATTGTCTGTAGAGGCAGGGCTGTATAACCATTGTCTGTAGAGGCAGGGCTGTATAACCATTGTCTGTAGAGGCAGGACTGTATAACCATTGTCTGTAGAGGCAGGACTGTATTACCATTGTCTGTAGAGGCAGGACTGTGTTACCATGTCTGTAAAGGCAGGACTGTGTTACCATTGTCTGTAGAGGCAGGACTGTGTTACCATTGTCTAAAGAGGCAGGACTGTGTTACCATGTCTGTAGAGGCAGGACTGTGTTACCATTGTCTGTAGAGGCAGGACTGTGTTACCATGTCTGTAGAGGCAGGACTGTGTTACCATTGTCTAAAGAGGCAGGACTGTGTTACCCTGTCTGTAGAGGCAGGACTGTGTTACCATTGTCTAAAGAGGCAGGACTGTGTTACCATGTCTGTAGAGGCAGGACTGTGTTACCATTGTCTAAAGAGGCAGGACTGTGTTACCATGTCTGTAGAGGCAGGACTGTGTTACCATTGTCTAAAGAGGCAGGACTGTATTACCATTGTCTAAAGAGGCAGGACTGTGTTACCATTGTCTAAAGAGGCGGACTGTGTTACCATTGTCTAGAGAGGCAGGACTGTATTACCATTGTCTAAAGAGGCAGGACTGTGTTACCGTTGTCTAAAGAGGCAGGACTGTGTTACTATTGTCTAAAGAGGCAGGACTGTGTTACCATTGTCTAAAGAGGCAGGACTGTGTTACCATTGTCTAGAGAGGCAGGACTGTGTTACCATTGTCTAGAGAGGCAGGACTGTGTTACCATTGTCTAAAGAGGCAGGACTGTGTTACCATTGTCTAGAAAGGCAGGACTGTATTACCATTGTCTAAAGAGGCAGGACTGTGTTACCATTGTCTAGAGAGGCAGGACTGTATTACCATTGTCTAAAGAGGCAAGACTGTGTTACCATTGTCTAAAGAGGCAGGACTGTATTACCATTGTCTGTAGAGGCAGGGCTGTATAACCATTGTCTGTAGAGGCAGGATTGTATTACAATATTCTGTAGAGGCGGGGCTGTATAACCATTGTCTGTAGAGGCAGGATTGTGTTACCATTGTCTAAAGAGGCAGGACTGTATTACCATTGTCTAAAGAGGCAGGACTGTATTACCATTGTCTGTAGAGGCAGGACTGTATTACCATTGTCTGTAGAGGCAGGACTGTGTTACCATGGTAGAGGCAGGACTGTGTTACCACTGTCTGTAGGGGCAGGACTGTATTGCCACTGTCTAAAGAGGCAGGGATGTATGACTCCATCACTTTACAGTGCAATGCATAA